TGTATCTGGTCTAGGTCAGCAGAAATCTTTCCCAAACCCTGTTTTAAACCTAGAAACGCTGCTTTTACAAGATCAGCATCTCCATATGGTTTTCAGATGGGATTTTCCTCATGCTAGTGATGAAAACATAACCAGACAGTTGAGACGGATCGTACATGATTCAACAACGGCTCTCCATCCTCACTCCATCAATCCAGCCTGACAGCTTTCACCATGTGGTTTGGAAGTGAAAGCCTTGTTGTATTATTAGTAAACACACACTGACACTTTACCAAGGGAAGGTGTAACACGTGTTATGTGCTAAATAAAACAGTTTAGCACAAAAAAAGTTGATCTTCATAATCAAACTTGCTTTTATGATGCAATTGTACTGATTATTTTTCACTTAATATAATATTTTTTTTAGCTAAATTAAATCATAAATGTGCAATTATTATAATAAACATTAATAAACTACAATAACGTATTAAATGTGCATTTATAATAATAATAATAATAATAATAAATTAAAATGACGTCTTTATTATTAATGTTGCTATTGCTATAAATGTACATGTCTATTATAAATATTGATATTTATAAATGTACATTCTTAACAATAAAATAAGTTGCAATAACAGGTAACTATAACATAATTAGTCTGGTTTTACTTAATAAAATTATTACTATTATTGTACATTAATTTATAATAATAATAACAATAATAAATAATTAAATATATAATATAAAAATAAACAATTATAATTAATAATATATATTTAATAATAATAAATTAAAAACGCTTCATATATTATTATTATACATGTACGTCTTTATTATTTTTACTATTGTAAATATAAAATGTACATGTCTATTATAAATATTAATATTTATAAATGTACATTCTTAACAATAAAATAAGTTACAATAACAGGTAACTATAACATAATTAGTCTGGTTTTACTTAATAAAATTACTATTATTATTGTACATTTATAACAACAACAACAATAAATAATTAAATATATAATATAAAAATAAACAATTATAATTAATATACATAATTTAATAATAATAATGTATAATAAATTAAAAACGCTTCATATATTATTATTATTATTATTATACATGTACGTCTTTATTATTTTTACTATTGTAAATATACATTTATAACAACAGAATAATAAATTACAATAACGTCTTATTATTAAACGTACATTTATAATATTATAATAAATTACAATCATGTCTATTATGTATAGTGTTATTATTATTATTGTTATAAGCGTACATTTAATTATAAAAATGTTAATATTAAGAAAAAACAGACAGTAAAGTAACAAAGTAAAATGCTGCCCCACCCACCTTCCAGATCGACAATCCGCACTTCCGCCTTCGTAATCCAGCATGTCACTCTTCCGGTTTCAATTTCCCCCAGCTTTTCCCATGCCAGCTCGCTAGCATTAACCGATTAGCCAAAGACGACAATTTAACTCCACTTCGATTCACAGCTCATTAAAAACGCCATCAAAACGGCGAGTCATCATCCTTATTACTGTAATATCCCGTTAAATGAATGTAAAATAGATTTTCAAGACGCGCCAGAGAGCCTTCAGCTGATCTGTCACGTCTGGGTTTGACCGGAAGCTCACTCATCCCTGCTGCTCGCGCTTAAATACGCCATGGAGTCCACAGAGCGCAGGCGCGGAAAGTGGGCGGAGCCTGAAGAAAGTGGGTGGAGCCTGAAGAAACGCTCAGCAAATACTGTCTCACCAATAAAATTAAAGATGTTAGTTATAAAGTTATTCATTTGATTTGATAAATAAAACACTTATTTTATGATTGTGTATTTACCCAAATGTTTTGGAATGATATTGAATATCTAATATTTAAATGTATAAAATTAAAGACTCGATTCTCTGGTAAAGATATATTTTTTTCTTGTATAAAAATAAGAGTTTGGAGCGAAATTTGGTGATTAATTTAATAATTATGCATGGGAAATGCCATATACACAAACAAAAAGGGACTAATAATAAACCTAACATTACATGAGAACTTAAGCATTACATTGAAGCCTTAAAAAAATCTAAGAAATAAAAACGCAAAAAAGATGTATAGAATTTTTAAATCCTTTTCTTATGATTAATTCTTGTAAGTTATCCCCTATGATGCTATTATGAATGCAATTGATAATAGTTGAATAGTCTACTGTTCTTGTTATGCACAAAAATGTGTTTTAATATTAATATATTGCACTTTGAATTACCATTGTGTATGAAATGTGCTATATAAATAAACTTGCCTTGCCTTGCCTATATTTGAGTAATATGCTTTAATAATATTTAGTAAAATATATATTTCCCCCAGCTTTTCCCATGCCAGCTCGCTAGCATTAGCCGATTAGCCAAAGACGACAATTTAACTCCACTTCAATTCACAGCTCATTAAAAACGCGATCAAAACGGCGAGTCATCATCCTTATTACTGTAATATCCCGTTAAATGAATGTAAAATAGATTTTTAAGACGCGCCAGAGAGCCTTCAGCTGATCTGTCACGTCTGGGTTTGACCGGAAGCTCACTCATCCCTGCTGCTCGCGCTTAAATACGCCATGGAGTCCACAGAGCGCAGGCGCGGAAAGTGGGCGGAGCCTGAAGAAGCGCTCTGCAAATACTGTCTCACCAATAAAATTAAAGATGTTAGTTATAAAGTTATTCATTTGATTTGATAAATAAAACACTTATTTTATGATTGTGTATTTACCCAAATGTTTTGGAATGATATTGAATATCTAATATTTAAATGTATAAAATTAAAGACACGGTTCTATGGTAAAGATATATTTTTGTTGTATAAAAATAAGAGTTTGGAGCAACATTTGGTGATTAATTTAATAATTATGTATGGGAAATACCATACACACAAACAAAAATGATTGGTGATTAATTTAATAATTATGCATGGGAAATGCCATATACACAAACAAAAAGGGACTAATAATAAACCTAACATTACATGAGAACTTAAGCATTACATTGAAGCCTTAAAAAAATCTAAGAAATAAAAACGCAAAAAAGATGTATAGAATTTTTAAATCCTTTTCTTATGATTAATTCTTGTAAGTTATCCCCTATGATGCTATTATGAATGCAATTGATAATAGTTGAATAGTCTACTGTTCTTGTTATGCACAAAAATGTGTTTTAATATTAATATATTGCACTTTGAATTACCATTGTGTATGAAATGTGCTATATAAATAAACTTGCCTTGCCTTGCCTATATTTGAGTAATATGCTTTAATAATATTTAGTAAAATATATATGCAACTACAAGAATGTGTGTATATATAATTAAAATACATATAAAATATTTTACTAAATATTTCATATGTATTTAATATTATATATATTTTTTATTATATGTATTATTCAAGTTAGAGGCTAATTGAGTAGAATGAGTGGGTTAGGATACACACAATGTATATAATAAAAAAAAGTTTTATTAACTTATTAACTATATAATTTTCAGCAGATGTCCTCTTCCACCAAAATGCAAAGAAGTGCATTTTAAAATGATGTATGATATTTATCTTGCTAAGGAATTTCTGAGATTAAGATTGAATGTGCATTGTAACATTTGTCAATTCTGTAATCATGATTGGGTTAATTCATTTTAGACTGAAGTATGTCATTGGATAAAACAAAGAATATCTATTTTTCCATCGATTACTTGGGACAAGGTGAAAATTGGAGTAAATGTGGAGGACAAAAGTGTAGACTTTGTTGTAAATTGTTTACTTCTCGTTTTAAAATACTTTATTCACAAATGTAAAGTTTTGAAAACAGCACCCCGGTTTAATGTCTTTAAGTAAGCAAGCAATGTTTATTTCTGTAGCACCTTTCAAGAGCAAGTGTCACAAAGTACTTACATCAAAATTGTAAAAAAAATAAAATTAAAAGAACAGATTAGACAAAAGCAAGTTTGGACAAGTGAGTTTTCAGATGCTGTTTAAAAAATATGAGAAGTGATAAGGCCAAGAAATTATTTGATTTGTTTAATCAGTGTGATTATGTACATTGTTTGGATGTATGAATGCATTATTTTATTTTGATTAATTTCTTGCAATGCATTATGTTTCTCTGTTATGTTCGCCTGTGTTGTTCTGTTAATGTTGAAATGCAAAATAAAACTAGTTTAAAAAAAATACAATTAAAAATTCAGCATTTGTAAAATAAAATATATCAATACCCATGTAAGATGAGGAGTTTGATATTTGGGGACCACAATATACTTTGTAAGAAAATACAATTGTGCGGATGCAATGTTAAATTACACTGAATAATGTTGTTGTTGTTATTACATTTTCGTGAATGTCGTTTTAAAATCATGCAAGTCTCACAGTTATGTCAAGGACAACAAATGACGCTGCGTTTTACTGCTTCAGGAAAATATCTAAATATTAAATAAGGACTGGGTGATTGTTTATTTCTTTTATTCAAATAAACATTTAGACTTTTCATCATCAGATGATTAGCAGGCGCGTGAAAGTGGGCGGAGCCTGGCGATATTTCGCCACTCACTATTGAACTCTGGGAAGTGTAGTTCACGTCGTCACTGTGTGTTCCATTACCCCAGTGACGGCATAACGCGGGAGTCACATTCAAAACATACAAGTCCCATGTGTCTTTGCGATTAACCGAACGCCGAGACGGTTTGCTCCGATTTGAACTTCCAATAGAAAACGGACGGGGGCGGTTTGTGTCAGTGTTGCCAGGTCCGCGGTTTTAACACCGTTTCCGCGGGTCGTTTTTTTATGTTCGCGGGTTGAAGCGACCCCAATAACGTGGTATTTAGACACTGGAATGCGACTTTTACCAGGGAAACCCCGCCAAAAACGTGTAGCTATTTTACCCGCCCCAGAAACGCGATTAGGCTAGTTTTGAATATCAACTGGCCGGGTTTTGTTGTGAAAACCTGGCAACCCTGGTTTGTGTATCGTTCAGTCGGCTTCAGAAGCGGAGAGAGGATTACCACAGAAAGCGATTGCGGAGCGATTTTTGTCGGATTCGCATCCCGACGCCTTTCCTACATTTTCGGACGACGTTTCCGTCGATGGTTTCCAATGGATTACTAATTTAACCGCAGGGACATCGCGATCTGCCGGATATATCAGGTAGGACGTTCTTGTTGACCAGATAAAGTCAGATAATGGAGACGGAGATCGAGCGAAAACTAACGTTACGCCGCGTCGAGCTTCTAAATTAGCACTTGTTAACATTATTCGGGCGAATCGCCGTTTTAACCGCGAGACCGCGATCTACGGTTTCTGCTAACCTTATTTTCGACGTAAATAAGTGCGTCTAAACAGCGGGGGACTTTTTGTTCGCCTTTATTAGCATATGCAGCAGATTGGCCAACTTTGGGCTTCAGCTGATGTTGTGCTGGAATTCGCGAAAAGGTTCTGTTCGCTGCTGGATCCCTTACATAAGGCTTTGTGCGATCGAAAAAGAGATGTTTCGACTACAAGCGTTGAGATCTCATCCCTAGTTGTCAGCGAAGACAGTTGCGTTTGCGAAGATTAAAGGCTCTGTTTCGACGTTAGAACGCCTGAACGCGACAATGTCGTTAGGGCTGACACCGACGCATTTGTTTTTCATTCTCTCAAATAAGTCCGATTTCCCCGATCGGACCAAGTTGTACGAACCCTTTTAGGTTGACCTTGTTCGGATCGTTCATTGTGTCGACAGCCGTCAGCATTTTGTCGCCTCCATTTAAACACCGTCAGTTCTTTGTGATTTAACCGTCTAGTTTGCGCGCTTTTCTCCATCAGACTGTCTGGCTTTATTCGAAATCGCAATATCGCTATCGTCCCACTTCGTGAAGTCAACGCGGCTTGCAGTAATAAAGAACGGGGCGTCGGATTTCGTTCCCTTGTAACGTTACGTTCAAAGCAGCGCTGAACGTCGCAATGTTAAGAATGTCGACGTCAAAGCGTCTGCAGTTGTGTGGCACAGAAATGGCGTCATAATGCTGTAGCGCAGACGACGTTACGCAAACCCGCGCGCGCAGACTACTGTAGTTTATCAACGCCACGCTTAACTTTAACTAGTTGTTTTACTCGATTGTAATGCTGACTCCTCAACTCCGTTCTGTGGAAGCGAAGAGCTCACCGTTCGCGATCATTACATTTTAAACGCCTGAAACACTCGCAGCCTAAAGGTGTTGTAAGCCATTTTTTTTCTCTCCAAATACCACAAATAAAATGTCCCCATTACCTGACTGTTATCACTGAATAGGTGTCTTTACAAATCACAAATATCTGTGACAGACAGCCAATCAGTGACAGTGGCCCGTCCTTGTTTTAGCCAATCAGAAACGCGCTCTGCCCGTCAATCATGTTGTGCTGACATCGCTGGCATGTCTGTGGAGGGCGGGGTTTCGGAAAGAGGGCGTGTGGTTGAAGGGATGGGGGTTGGTTTAATTCGGTGACTAATGGTGCGTTCAAGTCATGTCGGATAGATCGTATTTACGAGTTGAACGCACATGAACGCCACCACAAAGTCGTTATTACGAGTGGGAAACTCGAAATTTTCTTTAAGCCCCGAGTTTCCGAGTTGGGGGCGTGTCAATGAGAAACATGGCGGAATTGTCTGTAGTTGACGGTAAATTTTTGTTTAAATCGATAGTTTTGATTAAGTTTTTATGCGATACAGATTAAAGTGGCTTCATAAATTACTTTTTTAAAAACATTAAAAACACACCTGATGCGAATTCTTTAATCTTCATTTTCTATAAGCAGAGTTAACAGACCCTCTTGTATTTTCTTGAAATTTATTAAAAGAAGGTACACCGCCATCTTGTGCCGACTAAACTGACTTGACATAGTAATTACGACTTGTCAACTCGTAAGTAAGAACGTCCCAGGAGGACTTGAACGCAGCATAAGTTAGCAAATAGTCACTTTTAAGCCTTAAAGGGGTGGTTGATTATGATTTTGCTTTTTAAACTTTTAACGTTCAATGCGAAGGGAGATATTTTATTTGAAAGAAATCACTGTTTAAGGACACCTGAGAAGAGATGATGCCAACCCCTCAGAGGACCTCAGATGATGCCAACCCTGAAACAACATACAGAACTACCACATTTTGCTATAAGTTTGATTGCATCATATAATAATTGCTGTTAATAGTGTTCATCGTCTGTTTTATTACGTCTTAAATTGATTTTTCCGTACTGCTGGTTCGTCTGGTCGGAGGAGAACTGGCCCCCCGACTGAGCCTGGTTTCTCCCAAGGTTTTTTCTCCATTCTGTCACCGATGGAGTTTTGGTTCCTTGCCGCTGTCGCCTCTGGCTTGCTTAGTTGGGGACACTTCATTTCCAGCGATACCGTTGACTTGATTGCAAAGATACTATTTAAACTGAGCTGGATGTTGACATCACTGAATTCAATGATGAACTGTCTTTAACTGAAAAATTTGTGTTTACTATTGTCATTTTGCATTATTGACACTATTTTCCTAATTAATGCTGTTCAGTTGCTTTGACACAATCTGTATTGTTAAAAGCGCTATATAAATAAAGGTGACTTGACTTGACTTGACTACAAAAAAGGCTGGTAGGGACTGCAACGAGCTTCTCCCTGGGTTTGTGACATCACTAAACCCGATGTTTAAAGCCTTCGACACACTGCACGATTTTCGGCTGTCCCAGACGAAAGATTGGCATCGTGAAACAATTGTGGCAATTTCTGTGATCGTGGCTCGTAAACGGTGGTCCTATGTCGTACAGTGAGAGGGGTTCAAAGACGGCCGTTGTCACGGTCTTGCCGTAGTTCACTGACAAGTTACGCAAAAAAATCGCAGACGATTTTATTGCGCGATTATGAAATCAAAGAAATCGTTCGCGATAATGGCAGCTGTTTGCATAGCTTCTCAGTGAACTACGGCTCTGTGTAGTAAATGCTGCTCCATCTGAAAGCATGTGAAAATACCACATTTAATAACATATTTTTACTCCAAACTCACTTCATAACGTCAGTCGAGTGTTTGAAATAAATCCTTCTGTGAGATGATGTGGCTTCTTACACAGAATAAGGCACGCAACATATTTCATAGTATTTAAGCAGTGATAAAGGCATTGCATTATAAATATACTTTATTTTAATGAAAATTATAATAATAAGAACTCAGATAAACCGTATATTGCCGTAGTCGTGTGTTTATTAGTCACGTTGAATCAGTGAAAGCAGTTGAATCTGTTTCTGTTTCTGTTCTGTTTATTCAGCTGCAGCGATAGGCGTTTTCTGGGTTTCTTCTGC